CCATTTTCTTCCTCCACACTTGCACACTGGAGACAGTAACCAGTCCTTAGGTTTGTTTTTGTCATTTTATTAAGGTTTATTAAACTTGGATGGGGTTGAGGGATGCATGGGATGCCCCTGGAACTGTGAACTGCGAGGACAATCTCCTTAACAAATATGTACAAGTCTATGGACAAGAGAGAAAAATCTATCTTTTCTCTGAGAGCATTCCAGTTCTCTTACTCAGACCCTAGGTGAAACCTACTCTTTGTCCGGCTGCACTGAGGGTATTCCCTGAGCAAGGTGATCCAGAAGCTGCCAAAGTCAAACAGTCCTGGCTGAGGAGCTAGTATGGTTTTCCATCTGACTGCCCTCTCCCCTTATCCGGCCCAGGGGGTGTAAGGTTACTCACACTGTCCTTCCTGATAGCTTTATGGGTTGGTGGCTGCCTTCAGGCCTTCTGCTGGGCTGGCTCCTTCCCTGCTGCTCAGGCTGTCCCTCTTGGTAGATGGTGGTACAATGGAGGTCCCCTTTTCAAGCACCTGCCTGTAGTTAGGCCCCTTCCCAGGCTCCACACTCCAGCCTCTCTCTTCATCTTCCCTGATTGATTGACCACTTCCTGATGATCTGGCTCAGTCATATGTCAGGGCTGTCCTGACCCCATGTCAAGCCTCCTGCTTGGGGATTGGTCAAGATCCCTCACACATGCAGATCAGCCAATCCTCACCCCACCCACTGCCTTCTAGAAACTTCTCAAGGTTCCAGAGCAGGGGGAGGTATCAGGGAACTGACCTGCAGAGCCCTCAGCCATGACCTGACTCATCCCAGGCTGCTATCCAGCCTCTAATTAAAAACCTAGCTAACTCCCGGAGGCTAAATAGAAGGGTGATACATTGGTCCTAAAACATGTAGAACATGTAACAAAATCATTGCATTTTGTGGCTTACACTGGCCACTTAATTAGGAAGGTGCATTCAGATTCTGTTTCCTTTTTGTGTGGAACATGTGTGTCAAATTAGACATCCTTTGGGTGATTTACCCCACATGGGACCCACTCCACCCAATACCGTCAATTTATCCATGTGGGCAGTCTATTTAACCTTAGTGTGTAATCATTTCTTCAGATTTGGTGCCTTACTTTCTGAAGGGAGCATTCACTTTTTTTTATAGCCCCTTGATGTCTCTAAATGTATACAACCTACAAGATCCATAATGAGTTTTTTTTTTCATTACTTTTACTACTTATACTGCATGTGCATCCTTGAAAAAGTGGACTTTGTTCCAAGAAATGCATTGGTTGAAAATTTGCATGTGCACAGCAATAATGCTGCAATGGTTTTATGTATAATATAAAACAAATTAACTATAAAAAATTTTTGAGAGCTCAATTATATATATGAAATAATACATATTTTTAAAGGCTAATTCCACCTTTTCCTGAAAAAAAAAGAGTAAGTAAATGCATCCATATTGATAATAAAATGCTCATTTACTATTTTTTTTGTGATGCAGCCTGCAAAGCATTACAACAGAGACCAGTGTCAGTGGAATGCAGATGTAGTGCTCTGGCTCTTGCAGATTATCTCCCCAGCTACAGGTCCGTACTGAGTTATGGAACTTGAGGAAGTATCAATGGACTACAACTGGTGAAATCACTGCACATGGGGCAGTACAGTGGTTAGAACCTCTGCCTAACAGCATTAGGGTCATTGGTTTGAATTCCAACCATGACACCTCCTGCTTGATGTTTTTTCTCTGTGCCTGCATAGGTTTCCTCCAGGTACTCTGGTTTTCTCCCACACTCCAAAGACATGCTGGTAGGTTAATTGGCTCCTGTCTAAATTGGTAGTATTTGCATGTATGAACGTGAGCTATGTACCTTAGATTGTAAGCTCCTTGAGGGCAGGGACGAATGTGAATGTGCAATATAAATGTGAAGTGCTGCATAAATTGATATAAGTACCTGTAATAAATGAAAAATGTGCTTCATTCAGAACTATGATTCTTTTATGACTCCCAGAATCTGTAATGGGGTGTGGTTTGGGGGTGGGAGGCTGTGGGCTGTGACCATGATTCACCTTACACCCTAAATATAGATGTAACAGGAAACATAATCAGAAACATAGTTTTCTCTTTTAATTTTGTGTTTGTATGTTAGCATGCCACAAATATTCCCTTTTTTGGGGTTTTTGCATTTATATATTAATTGCTTTAATCATTTGGTATACAGTAATGATTCCAAGCATATTAAAAAAATGATTTAAAGCTGAACTCCAGCTTTACTGTCACTTTAAATAGTTTGTTTGGGGCAAGCTGGCCCAGAAACTCCTACACTAACATGTTCACTAGCTGGGCACACTGTAAGAGTTCTATGTAGCCTCAGCACTATGTTTTGGGTGTAAGAGGAGACCTTCCTGTCTGACACCTGGAACACAATAGAGTTGGGTTGAGTGTGGCTCAGCCATTAATGGGCAGCTTTGTATTCTATCAATGAATACAAAGCTTCCTCTGATTGGCTGAGTTGGTGTTTGTGAGGTCATCAGCCTGCCTCTCCTACTTGATGATGTCATGATCTCCATATTGATAGAATAAAAAGCTGACTATGAATGGCTGTGTGCCACTCAGCCTGACTCTATTGTGTTCCAGGTGTGAGATAGGAAGGTGTCGTCCTACACCCGCAACATAGTGCCAAGGCTGCATAGAACTCTTACAGCGTGCCCAGCTGGCACACGTTAGTGTAGGAAATACTTTGTCTGAGCCATCTTGGCCCAAACAAACTATTTAAAGTGACAGTAAAGCTGGAGATCAGCTTTAAGATTTACATACACTTTATTAGAAAATTATTATTATTATACAGTATTTATATAGCGCCAAAGGGTTTGCTCAGCGCTGTACAATAGCAAGGGGGACAGAACATGAGACAAGACCGTAACAATACAATACACAAGGGGTTCGAGGGCCCTGCTCTTTCGAGCTTACAATCTAGGAGAAAATATAACTAAATAGATGTAAGAGATTTTTTGTTTATAACGTCTTACTTTTCTAATAACTACTGTCAATGCACTCTTCCTGTACAATGATAGATTTGGTGAATGTATTCAATAGATCAACAAGCCTTTATTCAGACCAAAACTACTTTAGAAAAACCAGAAGCACTGGTGGTTAGTGCCCAGTCTAATATGCTGTAATTGCAAATGTAGTAGAATAAACCCCACAGCACAAAGCAATGAGCAGTAAGTGTGGTTTAGAACACAGTTATACAGTATTAGTCGTTGCCTGGCAGACAATATTTTAAACACTCTCAGCACACTAGAGGCTCATATCTTATTTTGTAAATTGAGGTACACAATATAAAGTCCATGATGGTCCATGAATGTCCATATGTATATAACTGCTTAGGCGGCAACCATCCCAGAGTTTGCCAACTCTATAAAGATAAAGGGGAAGGAAGAGAGAGGTGCCTTCTAAGTGCAGTATGTAAACACACTTTAATAAGCCACAGTTAAAAATAAAAAAAAAAAATCATTATGGTTAAAAGGTTTAAAAGTCCATCAAATATGGAATATATCCAGGTATACCGCCGTCATCCACATCCTGCAGAAGTCTGTCCGACTGCCATGGGATCTCCGTGGATGGTAGGAGAGTCTTAGAAGTCCGCCACCGAAAATGTCCGTGACCAGCATTGACAGCAAGACCTGGGCTGATGTGACATCACAGATGCAAGGGGGTGGCACACCAGAGGAAAGCAAGTCTGTACGCTTGGAGCTTACTGCTCCTTCCAAAGGCCTGTACAAAGTTTTAATATCACCAACGTTGTGAAATACCATCAGTAAAACGTTACTAAATAATAAGTACTCACAAGAGATCTTTATAGCAATGTCTCTTGTTACATAAAAATCATAGATGAGAACCGACTCAAATGTGTATAAGCCGGAGTTCCCCTATTATCTGCCCTCATAACGTAGCTACTATCTCCAGCATCAGTGCTGGCACGTTTTCAATGGTGGACAACCTTCTTCACAGCTCTGGCTGACAAGCACTGCTATCAAGATTGCTTGTGAGTATCTGTAATTTTTTATTTAACCCCTTCCCAACCAGTGTCATTATACACATGCATATTTTAAGCACTGATCACTGTATTAGTGTTACTGGCTTCTAAAAAGTGTCAGTTAGTGTAAAAATGTCCGGCACAATATCACAGTACCGCTATAAGTTGCTGATTGTCACCACTACTAGTATAAAAATTAAAAAAAAAAATTCCAGTATATTTACTGCCATTTGTAGATGCCATAACTTTTGCACAAACTAATCAATATATGCTTATTGGGATTTTCTTTTACCAAAAATGTGTAGCAAAATACATTCTGACCTAAATTTATGAAAGTTTGTTAATTTTTTTATTGGATATGTTTTTATAGCAGAAAATAAAATATATTGGTTTTTTTTTTTTCAAAATTTACAGTATTTTTATGGCGCAAAAAGTAAAAACGCAGAGGTGATCAAATACCACCAAATGAAAGCTCTATTTGTGAGAAATAAAGGACGTAAATGTAATTTATGTACAGCATTGCATGACTGTGCAATTTCGAGTTAAAGTAATACAGTGCCGTAGCGCAAAAAAAAAAAAATGGCCTGGTCAGGAAGGGGGTTAAATCTTCCGAAGGTCAAGCCATTAATAAAGCTTTATTGATGGTATGCCAAGATGCTGGTGTGCATTCCATTTGCTTTTTAGTGTATTATATTTAACCGCCTCCTGCCTGCCATATAGTCCAATAACGGCGCAAGGTGGTTCTCTCGTTCTGGGAGGACGTCATATGACGTCCTCCCATTCTCACTGTGCATGCGCGGCTCTGGGAGCGCGCGGCGATCGGCGGTGTGCTGTGTCCCTCAGACACAGCGGATCACCGATCCATGGAAAGAGCCGAAGATGTCGGCTCGGTCATGTGATCAGCTGTGTCCAATCCCAGCTGATCGCATGTAAACAGGGAAATGCCAGTTATCGGCATTTCTCTCCTCACGAGCTGTCACGCTGACAGCTCATGAGGAGTGGAGAGCCGGTAATTGCCATTCTTCGGAGGGGACATGTACACTGATCATCAGAGCACTGTGATCAGTGTTACCCTGATGATCTGTGTAGGCCCCAGCAGTGCCACCTGTCATTGTCCATCAGTGCCAGCTCTCAGTGCTCATCCATGCTTCCTGCCAGTGCCCATCAGTGCCACATATCAGTGCCTACCAGTGCACATCAATGCCACATATCAGTGCCCATCTGAGCTGCCCTTTCAGTGTCACCCATCAGTGCCACCTATCAATGCCAGTCAGTGCCACCTATCAATGCCAATCAATGCCACCTATCAGTGCTGCCTATCAGTGCCACCTATCAGTGCCAGTCAGTGCCGCCTATCAGTGTGCATCAGTACCACCTATCAGTGCCCGTTAGTGCTGCCTATCAGTGCCAGTCAGTGCCACCTAACAGTGCCAGTCAGTGCCGCCTATCAGTGCTGCCTTTCAGTGCCCATCAGTGATGCCTGTCAATGCCCATCAGTGCCACCTACCAGTGCCTCCTCATCAGTGCCCATCAGTGCCACCTATCAGTGTCCATCAGTGCAGCCTATCAGTGCCCATCACTGCAGCCTCATTAGCGCACATCAGTGAAGGAGAAAAAATCACTTATTTACAAAATTTTATAAACAAAAACTAAGGAAAAAACTTTTTTTCAAAATTTTCAGTGGTTTTTGGGTTTAAGAAAAAATTAAAAAACCCAGAGGTGATTAAATACCACCAAAAATAAAGCTCTATCTGTCACAAAAAAATTATAAAAATTTCATATGGGTACAGTGTTGCATGACCGCGCAATTGTCATTCAAAGTGTGACAGCGCTGAAAGCTGGAAATTGGCCTGGGCAGGAATGGGGTATACGTGCCCTGTAGGCTAGTGGTTAAAAGATTTGTGTATTTTCACTGTTGCCCTCTAATCTGCATAAAAAATAAATATTAAAAAAAAAAGTATTTTAATTCATACAGACATGGATGCAAGCAACGTATTCATAGACCCTGGGATATGAGCTCACACCAGATGATTGGAACTGGCAAAGCTTTCAAAGACACACTCATTGGGTGCCTTCTCTTTAATCCTACTCTACTTCATGAGTCCTCAGTTTTTTGTTAGTGTCCTAAGGTTATGGATCCCTTCACCCTTGCAGAGAAATTATTCTTAGCATAACTAGTTTATTATTTTATTTATTGGATTCTTCAATCAACTCTTCAACTATTTCTTACATCAGAAGCAGTGCATCCAGATTGGTTGCAGCCTTTGTAACACCTTGGGAGCCATACCTTGACTGCATACTGTGGGAAAAGCCTGTAATGTTGCTTCGTGTACTGGATGGCATTGGTGGCACTTAGTGCAATGCATGTGGTGAGCCACCTGGTGCTATATTGGTTCAGGGCCTTTGTCCATCTCTATAGAACCCAGACTCTGGAGAACCCTTCGTAGTGTTATCCTCCATGATGGGTGAAGCCAGGACTCTACATACAGTGCACTGGGGATAGGTAAGACAGGGTAATCCCGTATCTTTGCCCATTGATGTAAAAAAAAGACAGGGCTATGTTTGAAATGTGTTTAACTTTTCAAACTTGTTGCTAAAACACAACTACTCTTAGTCTTCAATGGATGATGAGGTGTGACATCACACCACATGTAGCACAACCTCTTCTGCCTAGAGCCTTTATAAGGCACTTGGGCACTTCATCCTGCCATAAGGACATTTCTACAGGACATTCTACACCCAGGTTTCTTCATACTCCTTCCAGACATGTTTACTCTATATTCCGCACCCTACTCTGAGTACCCCCAAAGGATAATACCCTCACACGTAGCTATGACAGAGACCAGGCAAAAGGGGTACCACACCAAACCTCAGGTGAACATTCATCCTGCCAATTCACACAACACTCAACGTCAGAGTGATAGTGCTTCCCTTGTACAGCAGCAGGAACCTATTTTTACACCGATCTCTGTGTCTGATAATAGTTCTATTACAGCTACACAATAAGCAGCCTACCTGAAGAAAGCAGAATTTTCTGTGTTTTTGTCACTATTTCTAGGATAAATAATGGCCTTAATTCAGCCTTCTTTGTCCAGGGCTACAACACCCCAAGCTCCTTCTGCAGTTCCTCCTTCTGCCTGAGTTGGAACCGATATTCCTGCCCTAGATGAGATAGACACAGAAGGAAATTTTAAGGATATAAAGGCAGTATTAGGGGAGGCTGCAGAAGATTTTTCTCTCCCACATGCTTTTCCCCCCGAGGAAGGAACTTTATGCAACATTATTTATTTATTTATTTCAGGTGCTTATATAGCACCGTCAATTTACGCAGTGCTTTACATATATATATATTGTACATTCACATCAGTCCCTAACCCTCAAGGGGCGTACAATCTAAAGTCCCTAACTCACATTCATACGTACACATACTAGGGCCAATTTAGACAGGATCCAATTAACCTACCAGCATGTCTTTGGAGTGTAGGAGGAAACCGGAATACATGGAGGAAACCCATGCAGGCACAGGGAGAACATGCAAACTCCAGGCAGGTGGTACCGTACATGCCTTATAATGTTATTCTTGTAAGTATATTCCTGCCTACCTTCCTTGGATTCACAGTGTGGAAAATTGTCCATACGAATGGTGCCTTAAAATACCTTCAAATTCCAAAATTTCACATCCACAAGGTCAAATGGTATCCCCAAATGGAATACCTGCCATCTGTGGTCATCCAAAATGCCCATCACAGATCTGCAGCTTTATTTCCTCTATTCCCAAAGACTTGCAGGCATGCTTGTACATGAACATGTTCTACTGGTGCTGGTTATCCCACAAGACTTACAATCAAGACTGGTTAATTCAATTAGCTACTTTCCCACCCCAATCAGGCCATCTCAAAGAGAGATCACACAATTACTTATAAGTATAATATCTGATACAAGTAATGACCAATACAGATAAAGTTAAAGAAAATATAACAAGAATACTTAACTAAAAAGGCTGTTTTTGCTATGGGTCCCTCCATTATATGGCATTGTCGATGATCAAAACAGATGCATGCTTAACGCAAGCTCTGGGGGCAAAACAAATATTTTCACTCTAGCTGTGTGTTATATACTGGACTTGTGTGTAAGCAATCGACAACCGAGCCCCCCATGTAAACACAATGATGACCTTCTAAGAAAGATAGCACATTCCTGAAAGGAAAGTAGTGGTCTTGATTGGCTTGTCCAAATAGCTTACAATTAAATTCCTATAGTCAGCTAAGGTAACCAGAATAACCAGGATATTAGAGGGTTTATTAATCTTTGTGAGGCCAGCATTAATAAGGAATATAAAAAATGCAATTTCCCCATCATCTCTCTTTCTATTTAAGCTTGGCTCATTCCCGTAGGTATTGCCTGAACAACAGCTAGTGTTCCTAGCTCCAAGTCCCTCCAGGGCTTTCCAAGAGGTTTATATTATAGATCTGTGCTTGTCCCACGCATGTTTGAAGCTATTTACTGTTGACTGGCTCACTACCTCTGCTGGAAGTTTATTCCAAGCATCAACTACTCTTTAAGTAAAATAGTACTTTCTGAGATCAGTTTTGAACTTTCCTCCAGTTAGTTTAAGGTCATATTCCCATGTTCTTGCTTTTGGTTTCATGTCGAAAATTCTGCTCTCCTGAACTTTATTCACCCTCTTGATGTATTTAAAGGTTTCAATCATGTCTCCCCTTTCCTTTCTTTCCTCCAAACTACATATTAAGTTCCTGAAGTTGCTCTTGATATCTTTTATACTCCAGACCTTTCACCATTTTTGTAACCCATCTCTGGACTCATTCTATCTTATCGATATCTTTTTGTAAGTGAGGTCTCCAGAACTGGACACATTATTCTAAATGAGGTCTAATTAAAGATCTATATAGAGGAATCAGGACCTCCTTCCTCCTGTTATTGACCCCTCTAGTGATGCATCCTAGGCTTCTATTCGCTTTCCCCACTGCCTGGCCACACTGTTTGCTCATTTTGCAATTATCTGAAATAAATACCCCCAAGTCCTTTTCCTCTGAAGTGCTGGCCGACAATGTACTCCCAATGTTGTACTCTCTAGATTCCTAGTGTACCCTCAGTGTTTTTTTGCGTACCAGGATTCCTGTGAAGATTCCTATTGTAACCCTATTTCTAGTGGAGACGTTTCTTAGTGTCCCTGGCTTCTTGGGAAGATTCCAAGTGATGCCTCTACTCCTAGTGATCCTGTAGTTGGACCTCCTTTGATCCTAGTGTCTGTTTGCAAGGTTCTCCAGTGTGATCTCTGTATCCATTCCTCAGTGTTGCCACTGTCTTCTAGCCTGTTCTTAGTGACTCTTGGTGTTCCTGCTTGCAAACTGTATCCTTGCTCTTTTTTAGTCCTTTGAGCATTCCAGTATCATTGTGCACCTTTGCCAGATTTTAGCCTTCCTGCCCCTCTATGATCTGTGATTTTCTGCTTGCCTTTCATTATCAACACCTCTGTCTGCAGTCTGCTTCAGTATCTTCCACTGTATTTCTAGTCTGTATCCTGCTCGGTGTCTCTGTGCTTGTCTACTTGCTCCTAGAGATTCCTGTTCATCTCTCTGCTACTGCTACTCATTCCAAGTTGTTTTGTGTGTCTCTGTGCACTGTTCCCAGTGTTTGTGTGCTTCCATATATACAGGTGAAACTCGAAAAATTAGAGTATCGTGCAAAAGTTAATTTATTTCAGTAATGCAACTTAAAAGGTGACACTAATACTGTATATGAGATAGACTCATTACATGCAAAGCAAGATAGTTTAAGCCGTGATTTGTCATAATTGTGATGATTATGGCTTACAGCTCATGAAAACCCCAAATCCACAATCTCACAAAATTAGATGTAGGAAAGATATTTTACAACTTATATACAAGATATTTAGTTGAGTTAGGCATTGGTGTGCTTAGTGTCATCTTAGTGTTGCCCCTTTATTTGTGAACTCCATTAGCTTTAATCTATTAACTGTTTAGTAACCAATTTTTACCAGTCTGAATACATTTTCCTAAAGCCGAAATAGAGCAAGATTACTTTTGTGGGTATTATTTACACTTTGGTACTTTGAATCTTAAATCTTTTGTAGATAAAACTGCACATGAGCTAGGATAAAGACAATAGGTGCCTCAAACTGTAATTTGTGTACCTGTATCCTCTGGGACCCCTGTGCACCTCAGGGTTCCTCATAAATGATTACCTCTCTATTCCTGTAAGATCAGAATCCCATTGCTGCTAAGATACTCTTGTGCTCCTGTTTTCCTGTGAGCCCTGCACCTCAGTGCAGTTAGTGTCTCTTATGAGTATTCTTTGTCTTGCCT